ATATATATATATATATATATAATTAGCTTCATTTGTTCACAGAAATCCTAAAGAATTGATGGTTAGTTTAGTGGACATGTTAATTTTAAACTATTATATATAGAATATTGAGATCCCTGCTGACTCATAAAATGTTTTAAAACAGCCAGGCGATAATCTATAAAATATAATTTTATTGTGGGTTTTCACACATAAATTACAAGTATCTGAAAATAGTGTTATTCCAAACACACTGATTTCCATACTAAAAAGTACCTTTGTTTATACCCCACCCATCCACCACCACCGGAGGCACAGTGGTAAGTCTGCGGACTTATAACGCTAGAAACCTGGTTTCGATACCCGTAGTGAGCATAATACAAATATCCCGTTGTGTAGTGTTTAACTATAGATAAATAAACTTTAGTTCATCGTGTACTCACCTGCATTGCCCCCTAATGGTATTCTTGAGCATTAAAAAAACAAACTAAGACGTATACAATTCTTTTGTCAAATAAACTTACATATTTTCTGAATGTTAGTGTTAGTGATTAAGCCAACATTCCATATTTTAGAATATTATATATATATGAAAGGTGTATTTTCAAAAACGGTATTTCTCAATTCACTACATACATAGAGAAGCGGTAAAAGCAAGAAAAAGACTTGGAAAATTTTCCGTTCTCCCCCCTCCTCTCGTCCCGAAAGTTATTGCATAATTTGTTATTAGTAGGGGAGTTGTATTTGTTCGTTTGCTCACCTGAACGACACCTTTGTCATCAATGAGCTAGACGACCATCACCTGAACGTCACCTTTGTCTCCAAACGGAGGAGCTGAGATTCAGTAATTCACGTCCCGTTACAGCGCCTCAAAAAATCAAAAGCAATTCGGAGGTGTGTGGGTACGTTACTGCTCTAACCGTCCCTAACCCACTGCCAACTTTTGAGTTCCTCTTTCATTAGCAACTAGTAGGATTGACCGTCACATTATAATACCTCAATGGCGATAAGGTTGACCATGTTCGATGTAAGAATTCCAACTCGCGACACGCACGTTGCAAGTTGAGTGCCCTAATCACCAGGCCATACCATACATAGTTTTACGACAAAATAAAATACATCTCATTTATTTTCTCTGAGTTTTTTTTTATTTTTGTAGTTAAACACAAAGCTACATAATGGGCTATCTGTGCTCTGCCCACCATGGGTATCTAAACTCGGTTTCTAGCGTTGTAAGTCCGCAGACATACTGGGGCTTTTCTCTGAGAAATTATGTTTACGGTTTATCCAAAAAGAAAGAATCGTTATCATTTAGTTTAATAAAAACAAAACAGCGTTTGATAGTGATTTGAGCTAGGAGTTTGATTTATTACATTATGTAAAATACTACTTGTAATTAGCTGAATGAAATGAATGTAGGTCAAAGATAACGAGTTACATTTCCAAGAATTTCTGTTATTTTCATCGCTAACAAATGTAAAAAACGCTAGGGAAGAGTTGTCTCATAGTAATCAAATACAGCCTTATTCAGGTCGTAGATTTGTGAATCTTCTCCAACATAATTAAAGTGTTCTCAAGTATGATGTCACCACGTGATCCATTTGTTCGGATCTGGGATAAATACTTTGTTTGTGTTAGCGCAAAGTCACATTGCGCTATTAACTGTGTCAACAGTGGAGAATCAAGCCCCGGATTTTAGCGCTATAAGTCTGTAAACTTACAGCTGACCCACCGAGGAACAGGATAAATATACAAACAACACTTTGATATAACTCTTAACAAACAAGCAAAAAGGAATTAGTTTCTATTTAACTTGGTGTTTTGAAAGAACATTTAGTAAACTCGTTGGTTGCAACAACAAATTCCATTCTCCGAGGATTAGAATTATAAAAAAATGTTTTTAGTTGTTATTGTTGTTTTACGGGAAAAATATTGTATTTTTTCTTATTTAACATCCAATAAACAATCTGAAAATACCAGTTTTAGTTTCTTCTCTGAATTAGATCACTGTTTATTAATAAAGTTTGAGATTAAACATATATATTTAAAGCTTAATGTACCTCTTAATATTGAGGTTTAAATTATATTTTTCTGATGCCCTTAGATATAATATAGATAATATTTCGTGGTTATTTTCTACTTGAGTGGTTTTAGTGTGAACACTAAAGAAATTAAAAGTTCAACAAAATGCAATTTCAAGTTATCTATTTCTTTAAAAGAATAATTTGAGACTTTATTGGTTACAGAAAAAGTAAATTGCAAGATGTATCTATGATCACTGATACATGAAAATAATAAAAATCAGTGAAACTCAAAATTTAAAGTTAAGAAGGCTAGCGTACTTGAGTTCCATAATTTTACATCAAAATAAGCATATACTGGTTGTTATAATGTGCAATCGAAAGGTTAAGCCAATAATACTGACATTTAAAGTCCGTGTATAATAAAATAATTTATTATATACCTATATCTACCAAATTAATATATAAGTACAAATTACCTGGCGAGGTCCATGGCATCGTCCATTAATTGGGCCCTATTAACAACATGAATGACCTGGAAATAAATACGTAGGATCATAACATGATAACTCTACATGCAAATTGTTCAACTTTTGTATATCTTATTTCTTTGTAATCCATTACTTGCATCTGCCACTACAGACACCCAAAAGGAGAATTAATTAAATTAACTATGAAAACACATTAATGTGGGCGGTTTGTATATCTTATTTCTTTGTAATCCATTACTTGCATCTGCCAATACAGACTCCCAAAAGGAGAATTAATTAAACTAACGATGGAAAGAACACTGATGTGGGTGTTTTTTATAATGGTGTTATTAATTCTTAAATCAGCAGCGAGTAAAACACTTTAATTTAAAACTGCTAATGGAACCAATTTTTGTTACTTTCAAAAACCTTTACATATAAATTGTAATTATGCATAAATGGTCTAGGCGGCTAGGTAAGGGACCTCTACGGGTTCAGGTATAGCCATCCCTAATTAAAACAAAAACAGCCAGACAGTAGAACATGATGTTAAACTCTATTTAATATAGACAATGACGGGGTTGACTGTCTCTTTTATAACGCACCCACAGCTGCCTATGTGAAGCATATTCAGAAACATCACGTCTCAAGCCTTGCATTTTCGATCCGCAGTCTGAGAAACCAGTTATTAGGTCATACTCGGTCCAACTTTTACTTACTAATATCTTCAATTATAAAATAGTGTGTTACTGTCTATTTCACTACAGCGTGTAACTTTATTTTTAATTAATCTTAGCATTCAGAGCATGGCATGCAGGCCTAATAAAAACACACACACTTAGGTGGCTTGAACATCAAAAAATCTTATAGTTATTCCATCAAAAAAATAATAATACTGTGATACGATATTACACCAGAAGTTTTACGCTTCAGAAATCCATGCACATTTTGAACATATGTTTAACATTACATAACAACACAAGATTTATTTAGCGCGGATGAAAAGGGATACAGTGCATGCATATCATAAAATGTAGAAAAATTCTGTAATACAATCCTAAAATTTAAGTTACATAAGTTCCATTTTTTCTGTCTAAAAAGGAAAATATTAATTACATCAAGAATATATATATATAATTATTAATGCTTATGACATTTTCCGCCAACATGAATGATAAAATACCACAATAAGACTTATCATATTTTCGACCAATTCACTCTCAACTTGATCCTTGTGACTTTCTAATCAAAATGAATGAATTTATTGCGTTTGAAGTATATTTGTCTGTTTCATTTTGCTCAGTATCATTACTAATTATACAAGTTGGGCTGCATTGCTGAAAGACTAAAAAGAAAGATTAAATTACTAAATATATAACGCTTAAACTCTAAGAGCCTGAACCTTATTATATGAATTGAAACCCTTTAAAATAGTCCAGTTAAACTGACAATAAATTGATGGTGACGTTTGTTCAAACTGTCTACTTTAAATTGACTTCATGTCATGCACTGGTGAGTAAAAACACCGTCTTTTTTTTTCTGTTGCAAAAGTGCAACAAAATATCTGTAATGAATTCCTTAAAATAACAGTTAGACTCTTTATTTGAGTACTAAATTAAAACAAACACATTTTGAGGCAAGTTTGTTAAATCTCCAACTAGTAAGCAATCTATAAATGGTCCATGTCATTCGATTAACTAATTCATGGAGCTTGCTTAGGCTAATATTGCTTCCACATAGCTTTCCTGTTAAACGCCGTGTAACTTTATATCTCAAATATTACTATTTTAAATTACTGACCAGTCGGAAGACAACCAATCAGCAGCACTGTTGCCAAAAGGATATTGTCAGTTTTGAACGGAATAATTGGATTAACTAGCATTCCTATGGTTCATCCACATCTGAAAATGTGAAATGTTTTATTGCATGGCAGCTCAAACCTTAGAGTTTAATGATCCATACCAGAACACGTTAGCCACTAGGCCACACCCGCCCACATAGTAACGCATTTAAAATGACATGAATAGGATCTTCGTAAAATGACAAAAATTAGTTGCAGTTTTGTTTGTAAAGCTTCGTCACGTTTTATATCCCAAATGTTTGGTACGACTGGTGACGACATGAGAAAAAAGCTACTAAGAGCTTTCTGTTTATAAATGGGTCAAAAATAAAGCAACAAACACAGATTTTTACTAATAAATCTTTCCCGATGAAGGATTCCAACTTCGATGTAACTCGCTAACAATTAAATTCCGGAAAGGATCTAGCCATTTGTGGAGCCATGAGCTATGACGCTCGTATTCGCTACTGCAATGCTAGATTTCAACAAATTGATAAAACAATATGCCATTTGAAATGGCCGGTTGACTTGTTTGTATGTGACAATACGTACCTTGTGGTCCTTCTCCAGTTGGTTTATTACCAGTTTCCAGTTATGAATGTCGTAGTTGACACGATAGTACCCCACTTCCTGGATGTTTAGTATTAACCAATCATTCGGTCCTGGTAAATCTCTCAAGGTACCTTTTAAAAACAAGAACAAATATTCTTTCATAGGTATGATTAAAATTTCATACAAAGTAAGAAAGAACAGATAGTAGCCAGCAGTGAAGAAAGCGTACAAACGTACTTTATATTCACGTTTATTTTCAGTATAACCGCTCACAAAAGACTATCAACAATGACTAGAGGGAAGGCAGTTAGTCATCACCACCCACCGCCAACTCTTGGGCTACTCTTTTGCCAACGAATAGTGGTATTGACCGTCACATTATAACGCCTTCACGGCTGAAAAGGCGAGCATGTTTGGCGGGACGGGGATTCGAACCCTCAACCCTCAGATTTTGGGTCGAGCGCCCAAACCACCTGGCCATGCCGGGCCTTTTGCGTCTACAAATATATATATATTTAGTAACTTAATGAATGTAGTATATATATATATTAATGTGTGCTATATTTTTATACGACATCACAATACTACTGATATATATGTAGTCATCTACGAGGAAGGAAGGTTATAGTGTATGTTCCAACATAGCTAGCCTGATAAGTTCTTGTTGGCAGCGGTATACAACAGTGATTTGTGATACTTCCCTACATGTCTGCACTTATCCGAACAACGCGATTGACTGTCCCCCTTATAACTCCCCCTAAGCTGAAAGTACGGGACGTGTCCAGAGTTATTGTGTAGCTCAACCGTTCTATTGACATTGTCACTCCTGACCCGACAAACAAGTAATATTACACCTATTACCTTTTAACGAATTATAACCGCTGTATTGTGGCTTGTATATTCAAAAGTTGCTATATTACGAATAACTCGTACAAATAGTACTTAAGATAAGACAAACAAACTGTATTCGTTTATGGCGCAGTTGATAATGGTACCTGCCACCGTTCTTTATTTTGAACGGGCGGGCAGCACTCATTGCCAATTCGTGGCCTATTCTTTACCAGTGAATAGTAGAATTGACCATCACATTTTAATGCTCCCACGGCTGAATGAGCATGAATATTTGACGTCAAGTTTTGATCCAGCGATCTGCAGTTTGTCAGTCGAGTGCCCTAACAGCCAGGCCATGCCAAGTATAAACTGTAGTTAAAATGCTATTGTGCTTATTTCTTACTGGAAATCCGTAATGGAACAACAAAGAATTACGCACTTCAAATTACAATAAGTGTTACTGCGATATAATACCAAACCCAGTACTCATTAAGCGGTTTTAACCGTAATCTCTGGGCCCGGCATGGCCAGGTGGTTAAGGCATTCGACTCGCAATCTGAGGGTCGCGGGTTCGAATCCCCGTCACACCAAACATGCTCGCCCTTTCAGCCGTGGGGGCGTTATAATGTGACGGTCAATCCCACTATTCGTTGGTAAAAGAGTAGCCCAAGAGTTGGCGGTGGGTGGTGATGACTAGCTGCATTCCCCATAGTCTTACACTGCTAAATTAGGGACGGCTAGCGCAAAGAGCCCTCGTGTAGCTTTGCGCGAAATTCAAAAACAAAAACAAACCGTAATCTGGTAGCTCTCTCTCTCTTTTTTAACATTTTAATAATTTATTAAAAAGAAGATCTTAAATTAGGACAGCAACGAGGTCATAAACTAGACAAAATCATAGCAGCAGCCGTTTTTACCTCACAGTATAAGCGGGAAAACGTTAATAAAGTAACAACAAATATCTATTAAATCTATAAAGTAACAAATGCATATTAATTATTACTCAAATTATTATTTCGGTCGTTCTTAATGTATCAAGCGTCTATGTGCAAAGAAAAGCCAAAAACTATTGTTTTTATCATTAAATGAAGATATAGCCTAAAGATCCTTTGTGGGCTTTACGGCATAACCAGGTTTCATTCGCCCGGGCCCCTGGGCAGTTGCCCCCCCCCCGTCGGCGGGCCAGCATGTGTATATATATGATATTATGTTTCTAATTCCCAAACATTCCCTCAATGTTGTTTTCATACGCAAGAGGACAGTCCAATTTATCACAAAGATGTGTGCTCAAGGTGTCATCTTGATGGCAGCAAACTAGGACATTGACCTCATCTAAAACTCTAAAGGTCATTCGTTCTTGAGAGCAAACGTGGAAGTGATTTAAACTGTGCCATTGGTTGAGGTTTGCTAGTGTTCGGAAAACAGATGTTTTACTAGTTTGAAAGTAAATTTCCAATTTGTCATTGTATACTTTCATGAGTATGCACCATTTTAGCGGTTGTAAATGAAACTCTAAAGTTGTGATATCAGATATAATAATATACCTTAAAATATAAGATAAAACATATTGTTAGAATGTTTATTTGCTGCTGATATAATATAAAATAAAACATATTGTTAGAATGTTTATTTGCTGCTGATATAATATAAAATAAAACATATTGTTAGAATGTTTATTTGCTGCTGATATTATAAAATAAAACATATTGTTAGAATGTTTATTTGCTGCTGATATAATATAAAGTAAAACATATTGTTAAAATGTTTATTTGCTGCTGATATAAAATAGAAAAGCGATACAACTACAATCGAGATTTTGCTTAAATATGGGACGGGTGTGACCTAGTGGTTAGCGTGCCAGGTCTTTGGTTAAAATCTTGTTGTTACAAAATTGGATTTCGCACTTTGGAGTTATGGGTGCTAATAATATATAAACATGCCTACTTTTTGATCAGACAAGAGTTGCCCAAGAGTTAGCAATGAATGCTGTTGACTAGCTACTTTCTCTTTAGTCTATTATTTGAAAATTAAGGACAATTATTGACAGAAACACAAACCAAATAAAGAAACTTTGGATATAGCAATACAATGAGTGTGTTGTAAAACTAAGTGTTCTTTGCAAGCAGAAAGGAAGTAGACATACGCACATGATTTTATTATAACTACCTCTTTTCGATGAAATAACTTATCTAATGAGATCTGATGTTACTTAGCGTGCAGTCACTAATCGCTCGTGACTATATATATGGAGAGAAGCCTATATATATATAGGCTTCTATATATAAATACTTCACGTGCTTTTTTAAATATAAAAATTAAACTTTTTTGTATATAAAATAAAAGAAAAAAAATGCTGTGGGAACTTACATGTACACATTGGAGATTAAAGTAATAACAGAAATATAATAACTTTTCCAGAATGTGATACTTATATTTCTTATAAAGTTGAGGTTTCGCCAGTGCCAGTGATTATATAATTATTTTTACCTATTACTCAGATTAAAATCCGGGACTTTCTACAGAGGAACAACTTAAAACACTGAAGCTTAGATTAGTCATTCTATAGTATCTCGAGGAACAAAACCTTGGCTCACTTTAAAGAAATAATTTTGTATTAAAACAAGTAAAACCGTTGTAATGTATTACATGCTGTTGGTATTCTGTTTGTTTGTTTTTGAATTTCGCGCAAAGCTACACGAGGGCTATCTGCGCTAGCCGTCCCTAATTTAGCAGTGTAAAAAAAGGGGGCCTGACGAGGATGTTTGCCCCGGGGCCTGTGCTGGCTCTCGACGTTCCTGACAGGAAAACATGATCACACGAGCACTACTGTTTTACGGTATGTTTTTTTTCCTGTATGCTATAAGGCAACCAGATATTTCCTATAATAATAGGTATTCCCTTTAACCATACTTTTTCATACTAATAGTGCTACTGCACTAAATAATTATTTATTTAATTAAATAATGCTGGAAAGAACATTATTCATCCATCCACTTTTAAAGGGACTTGTTATCCCCCCATACAAAGCTATATAAGCTAGAATGGTCAAAAACCTTTTGATTTTTTCCAAGGTCTATGAGTACTTTGGGACTTCCAAACTCAATATAAAGTATTTTTTGTTGGCTGAATGTAATTTAGCATACATTTAAGTATAAGACACCTTGTTTTGCCCAAAAAATTTTGGCTTACTCCCCCAAATTTTTGGTGTTGGTGCTGCCACTGTTGATATTACATAAGATTAAGTATAAACATTGTTATGGACATTTTTGGAAATTAACCTGCACTTTATACTTTCTGGATATATCAAACTAAAGTCTCTGAAGTAGTAATTACCATAAAGAAAAACATGTTGGAAAAATTCAAACATGTGCTTAGGTATATTGAATCACAACTGAACCATAAATGTTCTTAGTTACTTGCTAATTATTTGAAAAAACAAAAGTACTGTTACGACAGCGGGGTCACGTGATGCTAGTAACACGTCATATTCTCGAAGGTTCGTGAATGCTTGAGCGGTTACATATTCTTTTATATAAGATGGCCAAGAAATGACGGCAACAATGTGTGTAATTGAACTGCGGACAGAGAGAGAGACGTATTGTTGAGTGGAGCACGTGAGACGTTCGTTGTAAATTATAGCAGGACTGTGGAAATTAAGTGTATTGCAAAGTT